TATGTACTTCTCCTGCCCTTCCTCTCTAGCCACCACCTAAGCATGGTCAACCATCATCGCAACAACATGTTTCATAGTCTGTGGCTGTGGTGATTGTATCCTTCTGTATCTGCTGGTTTCCCTTCAATTTTATTACATTCTGGTGTGTCCTGATCAAGTTTGACTTCCTTGAATGGACGTCGTCATTTTCCATGACTTATGTTTTTCCAGTGGCTACTTGCCTTGCCCATACGGATAACTGTTTGAACCCTGTCATATACTGCCTGGCGCACAGAGAGCTTCACGTAGAGCTGAAGAAAATGCTGTGGAAACCTTGGGTCTCAGACGTGCCTGAGCCTTGTTCTCCTGTGCTGAGCTGTAGTGAAGGGGAAGCCCAGGAGATCTGCTCAGCTGCTCCACTTAAACATATGGAAAGCCACACTGTCCATTCACATGTCAAACCATAACCTCAATCCCCCATCTCCTGACTGTAGCACAGTGATAAGAATTATGGATATTTATTTATCTCTAAGTAATATTACATAGATTAGGAAGGGAGGCCAAATAGAGGTAAAGGTTTAAGCTCATAATCAAGTAACAGATTTGAACATTTGACCCTTCTGTAATTGAGGATAATGTGCACTGGACGTATCTACACTCTGCACTGGACGTATCTACACTCTGCACTGGACGTATCTACACTCTGTCTTTACTGATGCCTGCAGGTAATTTGGAAAATGGAATACAAAAGTATTCAATTTGCACATTTCCAATTTTAAGAACTAATTTGTTTTACTATGAAACACTGCACCCATGAAAACAAAGCATCTGTATAGGAAGTGAATTACATAAATACAACATAAATTGACCATGGTAGCATCCTAAAAAAAGGTGTTTGCTGTTTTCCTGTGATTTATACATTAATTATATTGCCTGTGGTGACTTTTTAAAATTTTCATGGCTGAAGCAAACATGGGGTTCTTCTTTGAGGTCAATGTTTGTGGGTTAGTAGCAGTGATCGGAAAGTTGCTGGTTTGAATCCCACAACTGGCAGAGATGTCATCGTGGAGCCCTTGATCAAGGCTTCGAACCCCTGTTGCTCCAGGTTCAGTGATCGGCACTTTGCTGTGACCACCAGACTTGCTCTGACCTATATATGTGTTTGTGTCTCAGAGAGAGCTATAGATGTGATAGTCAAAACGACCATTTCCCCATGGGAATGAGTAAAGTAGCATTACAGTATTCTCTTCTGTTGAAACAACCCTTCCTAGTAATGTATAATTGTCTAATTGTCTTTCTGTACTGCAAAGAGTACTTCTGTCCATCCATCAATTTTCTAACTGCTTATCTTGGTCAGGGTCGCCGGGAGTCTATCCCAGGCATCACCAGGCAGTAGGATGGGGTTCACCCTGGGCGGAATATCAGCATGGAGAGTACTTGTGAACAATTACTGTAATTTCTCTGAAAATGGTAGCACTTTGGGGTGAGTTTTAAAAAGGACCATGAAGTACAGAAATGTCAGTGCCTGATGTAGCTGCAGCGTAAGGTTAGAAATATTCGCCCTCGGTTTTGCCGTTTCCTTACATACTCTGTGCTAAAGTCCTAAGGCTTGTGCTGCTTTGATTTTACAGCCTGTGTTTTCACAATGTTCACACCTCTTGTGTTACATCAGATAGACAAACGTTGTGTTCAAGTGTTCAGAGCTGCATGTCTTTCATATGGCAAAATCCAGAGGGACTCAATATCATCCGGTATGAAAAGACTGTTTGTGTCAGCAAATTTATTTTTAAATAATATTCTCTTTTCAGGTAAAAGTTAACACTTATCTGAAAAAGAACAAAATATTTGGTGTTGCCCTTAATTTAGTAAACTGTCACTTGGTAAATAACAGCAGCTACCGTTCTATAAAAACAACTTAAAATATGCTGAATTGCTATTTTGTAAGGAATAACTGTAAGGAATGTGAATATGTGCATTTGTAAATTCTGTTGTTATAAGTGCATTTTTTAAAATCGATAATGTTACTGTCTTAAACTTGAAAGTGAAAAAATGTAATTTTCCTATTTTTTCAATTGTCCTGTTTCCATTAACTATAAAATTTGTAAATACTTCAAATGTTTGAATTGATTAAATCTGACAGCATGGAATGCATGTACACTTTCAGATTTTCAGTCTGATCTTCTGATGATTCTGATTAGTAGAAGGTCATTTTGAAACAACAACAACAACCAGATATTACCAACAAATACTCATTCCACTGATGCATTAAAATGCTTGTAAACATGTAATCAATTAATTCCTTAATAAATTAGTGCCTCATTTGTGCCACATTTTCTATAGTCAGTTGTAAGGGTGCCCCATCTAATTAGGGAATAACCACCAGACTGCTCTTCACAGGCATAATAAACGGGACTTATAAAATTTTTATTGCCTCATGATACAACATTTCTTGCTAGATCTCTTACCATTATTATGTAATGATACTGGACTTCACAATGGGACTTAGTTCTTTTGGAGATTATGTAAAATTAAAGTAACAATCTTAAGCCTAGGCTGAGAAATGATTAATGGGTACGATTTGTTTTTCAGGCTCATCGGGACGCCATTTTTGCTTGTTAGCAGAGTTCCCTGATATCTTGGAGGGGGGGGAGGGCTCCATTAATTAACACCCAGTGGGTTTTTGCCTTTCGAGTCTCATTACATACATCCTCACCACTGACCACACGGATCAGGCAAGGAGTTCTGATACCATCTGTTGTACTCTGGTAGTCCCTTTTGATATCTGAGCCAAGGACCAGCTTTGGGGTCAGATTTACGGACCAGCTGTTTCGTGTTCATCTAACCCACACTGCTGACTCCTCTCAGATATCATGGCCATAGACTGAATGTAAACATTCTACTCAGCATGAATGGACACACATAACGGTGCCGAAGTTTTTGGTTCGCCTCTTCAGCCGCTGCTGTATAAACCTCTCTGCCCATTATTTCACTTGTTTCTGTTGCTACTGATGTTATTATCGCAGTAACCCAGTTTGGTGGGAATCTCCAGTCACCACTGAGTGGCAGCACAGTTCATGTTGTCCGTGGTCCTGATGCTGAGACCTTGTTTCACCAGGGCAAAAGATGGCATGTTTGTGCTTTCGGGAACAAAGACCTTCAGAAGACGAAGTAGCCGTATGGATGCAAACGGAATGCTGATGTAAATTTCACATTTTAATTGAATGGGTGATGAGATGATTGACTACTACTGTAGCCTCGTCCTCCAGGGCTGTGATTCTTTCTGTCTTTGTCTTTATTCTCCTGCATTCTGAAAATATGTTTTTTTTTTTTTGTGAAGTGGTTTTTCCAATCAGTGTTTCTCAAACTAGTCCTCAATGAGCCCTTAAAGGTCCACATTTTTGCTTCAAAAATGTGGACTGTGAGGCAGGGAGCTGGGAGGGAGCAAAAAACCCATCTGCGGTCCCCAAGCACTGTGTTGAGGTTCTGAATTCTAAACACAGTTTTAAATTGCTTGGCAATGGATGAGCATGCAAACCAGGGTGTCGCCCGTCTCATGTCCTGTGCTTCATCAATAGGCTTCAGGCTTGCTGATATCCTCCATCTGATGAGCTTTTATGGAAAATTGATGCATTATAATTACCCAATAAGACTTGGACATGATTTCCTGAAGATATTAATATTTTTGATAAATCGTGAGCTGCTGAGCCTCCTGTGGCCCCCAGCCTACAATAATGAAAATATTAAATTGTTATTCACATTAGAATGCTACATGAATATAGTATTGAGAATACACATCTTACCCTTTGAAAAGTTAAACAGACCCTCCGCATTAAAAAAAAAATCATTGTGGTTCTGCAATAATTTGTGAAGGTTTGTGTCCACTTGTAGCTTTTCTCATGAATTGCTCAGTCCATAACTGACGTTCTGTGCAATATAATAAATGATTTGGAATATTAGGACTGCAACCTTGTACTGGAGACGACGTGGAAGATGGATGAATAGATGAAATATTGGGGTTAAGTTCAAGTAAGTTTTTTTTTTTTTAATTGACCTTTCATAGGCTTGTATCTCCGAGTTGGAGATGCAGGAAGGCCAGGCACTTATAAGTCTAACACCAGAGACACGGCTAGAGCAGCAAATAGGTAAGTGCGTAAGTGCTGACAGGAGTTTGCTGTAAATAATTTTTATATTAGATTTATAATAATGGGGGCAATGTTTTGAATAATTAAGTATATCATTCCTATAATCATGCTTAGAGTAGCATATCAATACTTTGCTTCCATCTAGCTGTGTTTATATGTGTGTATACATATTTTATTTATCGCACTTATATACGAAACTGACATAGTTTCATGCAAAATTCGTCTGACCATCTTACCGTAATATTTTCATGAGAAATGTTTACCTACAACACATTTGTAAAGGACGTAGAGAAAGCATGGTGAGTAATTACATCATGACATGACTTTATAATTACACTTGCGTTTTATAATTACATATGTGTGAACTGGGGATGGGGGATAAAGTGGAGCGGGGTGCCAAGGCTGACGTTCTATTTGTTTGGACCAGGTGAAATTAAATAATGCCTCTGACACCGGGGACCCCGGAGAGCCCTTGGACCAATCACTGCGGAGAGAGGCTCCGAGCCAGCGATCGCATTACTCAGAATCCATTACAGCTCCCTAGCGTGTGCATGTGAGAGTATGTAAAAGGCGAAGGGGGGACCGTAGCCGCGTGCCCGCGTCTGAGAGTGCGTGTGCCCGTGACGGAGAGGGAGAGGTCAGTGCTACGTGAGTGATGGAAGATTAAACAATATTTTTCCGTCTGATGGCCATGACGGAGATCAATGTTTGTTGATGCTGCAGTACCCCGAGAGGCCAACATGAAATGGAAAGTGTGACACGTTTATCGATAATGCACTTCGTTGTTTCGAGCGGTCCTTAGAAAGCACATATCCATGGACAATAAACAGGGCAGAGCTACAAAGACCGTAGCGTAACCTGGCGCTCAGTCGTCTTTATTCGTGGCAACAATATTTACAAACTTAAAGTTTCAGGATCACATTTTTTTTTTTTTGAATGACAGATTTTTTTTTTAATGTTTATTTTACAAATATTACACATATGGGATTGTCACATTCTCAGATCTGCTTTCTGTCATTTTACTTTTTGCTTTCCTGCCCTACATACAGTATCTCTCCCCCCCAATGGATGCATTTAGATTCTCCTTTTCACTCATAGCTGGGTCTGACAGTGGGATGAAAGCACTGCCAGTTTTGCTATGGTTTCTCTGCCGTATTGCTGTATCTCCCTGTCTCTTCCCTTTACCTTTTCTTTGTGATGTACTGACAGCCGGGCAAAATGCAACATCCTCTCTTCTGAATATTCTCTCACAGTGGCAAAATTTGCTACTTAGCTGGACTTCTTCCACAAATCGAGGACAAAAAACGTATGAAGTCCCTTTCACCAAGCACCTTTGGGCTATAGCAGTATCTTCTAGGCCAAGGCTGTCACTGGCTTGCTAATTGGTTACAGAAAGGAAGTTATTACTTGACACGACGGGAAATGCTGTAAATTCAAAGATCGCCCAAAAATGCTTTAATAATTCAATAATAAAAAAAACTATTAACTGTTATCAGTGGTGAACCTTTGAGGTTGTATAATATGACTAAGGCTAATTAGAAATGCCTCAATTCATTTATCCTAAAAAAAACAGCATGCTGTACAAGTGGCTGAACAGAGAATTATTATTAATGAACCAAAAATAAACAAAACTAATTTAACTGGAAGTCATTTTTATGACATTTTGCACATCGAGACACTTAACAAATCATTAAATAATACTGGCCAGTCTGAATAGGCCAACCTGAAACGTGGTGGCCTTTAGCTTAGCTATTAAGTCTTTTCTTGGGTATAAAGCAGTCTCTCCTGCAACAGGCTTATACTATAAGAGAAGCAGGTTAGAAATACATACACATACAAGGCGACTGTAATGTAAATGATATAGAAGCTAAGCTGGTAAATAAATGGTCAAGTTGTAGATACAAGAGACACACTGCAGGTGTGGACTATGTACAGTTCAGCTTTTGTCACATACAGAGATCATTCTGATCAAGTGGATATGAGTTTGTAGGATCAGTAACATGCATTTATGGCACTCTTTAACAAGATTGTAAAACATTCCATTCAAGGGTTATCTATCAAAAAAAGGGAAGATTATGTACATTTTAGTAAACATTTCCAAATGTCTCAGAGCCAGGGGCCACCAGATTTTGTCTCTTTCATCGGTTGCTTGTTCTCAGACTCTGTGCACAGCTGTCACGCATATATGCAACCTACCTATGTATATGAATTACAGTGTAGAGTCATATTCTAATTTAAAAATGTTTGACGTGAATAAGTGCACTTTGTGGCCGGTCACTAGATAATATCAGTATCAGAAGGACAAAGAACACGCTTCGAAGCTTTGATTGCTTTTGACAAGAAATAACTTCTGTAGAATTAAAGTAGACTGGTGATAAAAAAATGGAAAATTCTGGCTTGTTTCCATAATAATCATCCTAATAACTATTTACTGAATATTAAATAATTATGGATATATAACATAACTTCTCAAAACATTTAGGACTCAATTTAGAAGGGCAAATCCTTTTTTAATGCTTTCAGAAATGACTAAGATCTTAAATATGAATCTATTGGAATAAATATTTTTTGCCAAAATCGTTTGATTTCACATTTTCACCCTACATATTGTGTTGTTTCCTCTAGGTAGGCTACTGTCAAAGGTCCGAGTTCCACCTTAAAAATAACACAAATCCGTACAGTTTGCCCGACCTCACCCACTTACGGGAATACGCGAGGCTTTCTACTTCTCCAGAGGAACTCGTTCTGTTGAATCGTTCTTGGTTCTCGAGTGTTTTTCCTGGAATAGGGATGGCCAGAGCTGGAGAGGAGATCAGTGATTTTTCTCGCATGATTTTTGCACCAAGCTCCCCCCCTCACCTGACCCCAGCCCTGCTATTCCAGGCCCCCTCCTCACACCTCTACTCCAGGATATCCAGATAGACCGGTGGACTTTTGACCAAAGCTACCAGACGGCTGTGGATGTCCTTGATGAGCATCCTCTGCTGGGGCTCCCTCTGCCAGCAGGCCTGCATGAGGAGGTGCACCTCCTTGGGACAGGTTCGAGGCCTCTCCAGCTCCCGGCCCTGGGTGATGCACTCTATTGCCTGTGAAGGACCACAGAGAGAAGCGTAGCAGGATAACAGAATGCGGGAACTGTGGGTCTGATGTGTACGTATGGAGACGCATCCATACATTTAAACAATTGTTTTTGAACCCTTTGGAATTATCTGCCTGAATGGTTCCTAAATGATAAATGTGAAATGCTTGGTGAGTCATTTCTTTTAATCTATTATTTATTGAATGCCACAGATCATGTTTTGGAAGTCAGATAATTCCAATGGGATATTCATTTATTTCTGTGGATTAGGAGTTGCATGAGTTAAGATTTTTTTTTTCTTTACAGTTAAATTGACAGTTATGTCATGAAAGTTGACTGATGATGTCATTAATAAACCAGAGGAGAAGGGAATGCTTTGCAACGAGCCACAATCTGTATTCGCAAAATGCTGACGGCAGACAGCTCATACACACACCTTTTGCACGGAACAGAAGCAAGTATATAGAAATAACAACAGGTTGCAGTTCAACAGAAACAATTCATGTAACAATAACACCTGTATGCTACAACTTCCATTTAAGTGTGAAAGAAGAAGGACTGAAATTTCAGTATAACACCTAGGGAGGAAAACAAAACGCACGCAAGATCAAGCCTGTCCCTCACTGTCGAAAGGTGCTTTCTCACCGAAGTTCAGGACCCTAGTCCCTTGGCCGTCTCGACTTGTAGCTCCTGGCCGCTTTCGTGTGTCGCTAACCCACTGAACAACAGGAACTGTGAACTTTATGCTACATAAGCACGTAATCTCATACGAATCTACACCACCACCCTAAAATAATGGAGGATAAGTCATTTTGTTAATTATTTGTTCATTTTTGGGGTAATCGATCTCAATCAAAATGGGACACAGTCTTTTATTTATATTTATATGCCCTGCGACATGTTTATGATTCATTAATAAATCTGGCCAGCAGATCGATCTTTTGTCTTCCACAGAATAAAAAAACGATGTAACGTATTTCCACTAATAAGTGCTGGCAAGTCTCACCGCTGGCACCAGTGATATTAGACAAAAGTATATTGGTTATCGATCAAATTTTCTGAGGAAGAAATATGGAGACGCACGCAAAAAGGTATTCATTAATGCATTAAATGTAATCGAGGTACAAAAACAATTCCGTCTGTTCAGTTTTCACTCTACTACTTCTGTCTCTCTTCCCCTCAATTTTGCATAATTGATACGCCTATTCTTGGCTGAGGTGTCCATGTTGTTAGTGTTATAATTATGTGATCACTGACTAGTCAACATCAAGCTTAAATTTGCATTGCAGGGCAGTAAAGCCAACTTTTTGACTAATCAATTAGTCTCTTCAACTCCTACTGTGAATTCTATATTGGAGAGTGCTGTCGTATAAAAATCAAACTAGGTTGTACAGAAACTACAGGAACTGTCTAATGGTTTATAAACTGCATACAAGATAATACTGGAACATTGTAAGAACATTAAATAAGAATATGAAGTTATATGCGGTCTCATGTTACAGTGCTTATTTTCACAAAAGGCAGTCCTTAATTTTTTCACATCCAAATCAATAAATCAGTGACTATCCTGGAGTAAAAGGGATGAATCTGATTGGCAAGCATGCCGCCCCCATTGGTGACCTCAGCCTATCACAAAACTTCTCCTAATTGAATAATCTGAAGTGGCCGTTCGGCATGTAATAGGCTTTCAATCACCACAATGAACGTACAAAAAATAGATATTGACTCAACCTAACGTCTTCCACGCCCTCCAGACTCAGCCAGCGTGTCACAGGCCATCTATCCGTGCCTTCCGTAATTAGGCCTGGATGTCAATCACGAGTCGGGAGGGATTATGCTAACGAAGTTAAACAAAGTCGACCCGGGGCGAAGATGAGAGCAAATGAGATTAAAATGGAGTGGATGGGAAAGGCAATCTACCTCTACTTGAAAGAAGAGAGGCCACTCTCTCTCATAATGGCTTTGCTGTGGTTTTGCTGGAGTCCACTTCTTGGTACCGACTAACGCTCAGCTCACCTTTAACGTCAAGGTGGGAATATTCTGGAGTCTTAAGATAGCCGTAACATAATTACGCATTAGGGCGTTAGCCTCAAGTCTTCAAGCGCCGCTCACTTTGGACAGCGGTGTCTGTGAAGACGGCACCTAGCCCACCCACCTCACTGTTGGAGAGCTGGTACCAGGGCTGCTTTCCGTAGGTGAAGATCTCCCAGAGGACCACGCCAAAACTCCAGATGTCGCTCTCCGTGGTGAATTTCCTGTACATGATGCTCTCCGGCGGCATCCAGCGTATGGGCAGCATGGTTCGCCCGCCCACCTGATGGGTATTAATCAGCAGGACTTTACAACAGTCTCATGTGCAGGAGATATTGCTGCAGCGTCATTCTGACAAATTCAGCTGCATCTGCTCATGCTTTCCTGCTTTTTTTTGGATATAGGCTCAATAAATAAAAAAGAATAATAATAATAATAATAATAAGATGTATGGGAAAAATGGGTAAAAGGAGATAGATCCAGGAATTTGTTGTACTGGAGCACATTGTTCCTATTCCAGGAACTTGCAGTTCCTTCAATTTATATTTGCTTGGTAATTATTACTGTCAAAGTTTGGGTGTTTCTCTTACCCTGTAGTAATCGGTGCTGTATATGTCCCGGGACATGCCGAAATCCCCAATCTTCACCACCATACCGTCCCCGACGAGACAGTTTCGTGTAGCTAGATCCCGGTGGACGAAGTGCAGAGAGGCCAGGTAGACCATGCCTGAGGCGATCTGAGCCGCGATCTGCAGCATCTGCGGCAGGGTGAGCTGCCCAGGGGGGGGTATCTTCACCTCCTCCAGCATTCGGGCATCTGGTCCATGGGCCCTTCGTTAGGGGAGATGGGAAAGAAGTTGAAGAACTTTAAACAATTATTGCTCATAATCTCATTGGCTAAATGTAAAGAAGCCTGAAAATGTTTAAGTAAATTTACAGAATATTGTAAACCTGGGAGTAATTTATGCTAACAGATAAATCAGTAGCTAATACAAACATATGAGATCCAGTGCCCCATCCACCCTCTTCCAACTGCTTATCTTGGTCAGGGCTGCGAGACAATTAAAGTTATGTGATTTTGAAATTAATCTACTGTAATATGAAGTCAAACACTGAGCAAAATCTGAGCTGCAAACAGCCACTGCAGCAGCTTTTGAACAAAGTAAGACTGATGCCCAAGGTTCATTAATCTATGATTTATCTGCTGACGTTCGTTGTGAGATATATTAATGCTAATTAATAATTATCCCATTGCAAATTATAAATATACTCCTTTAGAGCAGAGATGCACATGCTACTTCCTTCACACTCCAACAAGCAAATCACTGTTGACGTGTCTCCATTTGTCCTAATATTGGAGTCTCGGTTTGTGTCACCCTCTGTTACGTGTAGCATGGGCTCCATGGTTCATGAAGCTGGAGATGGGATCACTATTAGTTTAAAGGGCAGGTGGCAAAGCAGGAGCAGCTGCCGAGGCTGGAGCCACATCCAAACTGTCTGCTGGAAATGTGATTTTTCTCCCACTGCAGCAAAGCATGTACAGTTTGCGAATATACATCAGTGGGCTGGAGCCCCTACTCCCAATCTGGCCGCACAGACACATGGTGCACAGGCTTCATCTGGACACACTTCCTCCTCTCCTGCTGCGCACCCCGGGGTCCTGGCCCAGGTGCAGAGGGGCCTGTATCCACAGCTCGACCCCTCGTAACACTCCTCAAACCAACTGCACGTTTCTTGTTGGATTTCTTTGGTAACTTTTTTCCCTCTAAGCGTAAAACTAGTGTCTAAAAAGCCAAGACGGGCATGTGGAATGTTTGTATTGGGGCTCTCTGTCTCCAACTCCAAGAGGTCCGGCATAAATTTTTAAACTGCATTAAATTATTCAGTAAAAATCACTGTTATCCAGGATGGCCTGTTTCAAACTGATACTCGCTGGTTGTTTGATATATTTATTGCAGTTCTTTTGTTACCTGGTTCAAATGAGTTCACATTCCAGGAATTGCAAAGATAAAGTCGTACGTCGTTTTTTAGTATTTAGAGAGTTCGGGAATAAAGTTAAGTACTGGTGTGGTACGTAAAAGTCCGGCAGAACAGAGCAATTCAAGGTGATGGGTCGAGATGGAGGGTCGTACCTCAGGAAGCGGTTGAGGTCTCCGTGCCTCATGTACTCGAAGACCATGGCTAGGGGCTCCCCGTCGGTGCAGACCCCATAGAAACGCACGATGTGCTCGTGCTGTAGCACCGTCAGTAGCTCGGCCTCGCGCTGGAAGTCCTGCCGCGTCGACTCGTTGGCGTCCTTCAAAGTCTGGCCGTGAGAGTGAGCCGAAGGAGGCGCTGAGCATTAGACCTCAGTCAAAACTACAGTGAAGATGCACAATGTCTAACATTTACTGGTAGCTGTGGAACTATGCAATTATAAACAACTTAGTTAATACTTAATCTACTTAACTGAACTATTATTTATGTGTAATATCAAATCTGAAATATATACAGCTAAAAAATTAACTATATGGTGGATTTTGAGAAAGACACAAGAGGAAGGTAAGGCAATAACATGATGATACACATGGAACCCATACTGTCTCTATAGCGATGTGTAAGGAAGTTGCCATATCTAGTCAGAAAATAAGTGAATAATAATGATCGCAATGATTAGCAAGTCAGGATCAAATGGCTGATGGTCTGTTCCCCCATCCGGAGGTCTCTGCCCGTACCTTAATGGCAACCAGCATCCTATCGCTGTCGGGACTCAGTTTGGCGCACTCTGCCCGTACCTTAATGGCAACCAGCATCCTATCGCTGTCGGGACTCAGTTTGGCGCACTCTGCCAGGTAAACCTTGCCGAAGGCCCCCTCTCCCAGCTCCCACTTCAGCACGATGTCCTGCCTCTTAATGTGCTGCACGCCTGCAAAGAACAAGAGCGACGTGTCACGGCTTCCGGCTGCAGAACGCAGCTGGCTGCGCAGTACAGAGTCACTGTCGGGGAAAAGTGTTTCAAAATAAAACTACGCTAAATGTTGCCAAAACAAGAGAATTATCTACTTTTTGATTTTAATAACAAAAAAAAATTACAATAAAAAATATAATGCATTAAAAAAGGTCGTACCACAAATGTTTTCTGTTAAAGAGTATTTAACAAGATATGGATTTAAGTGGTAGGGTTAGGGTTAGGGTTAGGTTTAGGGTTTCTCAACCCGGTCATCAGGGCCCCCCGACAGTCTATGTTTTTGCTCCCTCAAAGCCAGCAAAAACGTGGACTGTTTGGGAGGGAGCTGGAAGGGAGCAAAAACGTAGACTGTCGGGGGGGTGTGTATGTGTGCAAGGACTGGGTTGGGAAACGTTGTAGGGGACACAGCTGTCTGAGCTGGAAACTTTATACTCTATCCAGGGACAGAACGCAATGAAAAAGCACTTGATTGCGAGACTCCTGCATGAATGTGGAATTTCAATTGCATTTCCCGGATGGAACAGGATTGCCTGCCAAAAATAAAAGCTAAAATGCAGTGTCCATTTAATGCAGATGCATTCCCAACACAGAACAAGTAAGAAACAGAGATCCAGCTTTGCATAACTGCACACCAACAATGCAGACACTATGTATTTGCAGCACATTCTCGTAGAAGACAATTTCCATTTACCAATCTCAAGAGCGATTTCATTTTGTAGACCAATAGAAATGGCATCAATGACCCTCCAGTGCCCCCCACTCACACATGTCCTTATCCTTGATAATGCCGCAGAAATACTGGGGGTTCTCCACAAAGCTGGACAGTCCGGACTCAAGGGTGCCCTTGTCTGATGTGGGGGTGCTGGTCCCAAAATTCATGAAGCGAAGTGAGACTGCAAGGTCCTCCTCTGTACCCAGGACAGATGCCCCTGTTTGCATTGAGAGTGGCATTGAGAGAAGGTTACGGTTAAGGGATTATGAAGTGGGTATAGTCATATCATTCGTACAGGACAGCTTTACAGTTGTGTTTACATAGATCTTTAGTTATGGAATAGATACAGCGTAATCTCCCATTTCATTATGTCAGGGTTAACTGCAAAATGAGTGGGAGTCTAAGTAAAATATCTACGCACTCTTGGACTCGCAGGGATGCAGAATGTCTGAATACAGAGCTTTCTGCATTGTCTCATCCGCATGCAAAATCTGCATGTTGTGGTTCAGCGAAGATTGGAAAGATAGTTAGGCAATCAACTGGCTGACACGTCCAAAATCCGAATTGCTTCTGAAATTCTCAGACCCAGTTACAGTAATCACAAAACCCCAGAGGCCCAGGTAGGAATAGGAGCATGCTTCAGGTCCATTTAGATGCTTAGGATGATTTCCAAGAGTACAAGAAAAACCTGCATGCATCAGTGTTTTAATAGTCCCATCACTGCCAATGGCACCTAATGATATCTACTTTTCATGAGGTAATTATCGCTTAGTACACTGTGAAAGTAGCAACTCCACAGAATCTGTGATGTGCATTTCGTCTGACTCCACTATGCTGGAAAAAGTACATTTTCAGTACGGATCTCCTGTTTCAAAGCTGAAATTCAGGGCTGTCAAAATGACACCCAAGGCTCCTTGCAACAGGTGTGTCGGGAAAACTGTGATTTCCTCTTGTGGGAAGCAGAAGAAAAGGGTAACGGAAAACTACGTCAGGGAAGGAGAGAGCTTACTGTGGATGCCGAACTTGGAGTGCTGCCCACACTTATTGATGACCAGGACCATGATGAGCAGGAAGGTGCATGCAAATACAGCCAGGCCCACTGCCACCGACACCTGTGGAAGTGACTCTGGTGGGTTATTGCCTTAGGCTTCATCGCAGCCCATATTACCATCCACACACAGTTACAGAAACACCATAGAATCCAGGATTCTCATTCTGGGATCCGATACTCACACCAAAAACTCTGTTCTCCAGATTCTCAGTGACAGCATCATTGGCTTTGCTGCGAGGAGCTGTTGAGATGCAAGAAAGTTAAATGCACTTCGATCTATTGGATTATTTGTCTTTTGTTTTCTATCCCTCATTTATTTGTCACAAATAGCCTATTTTAGAGCTATAGCACATAAACAAACTGGGCTGATCTCTGAGCTAAATCACATCAGATATTTTAAAATGTCTTTCAGAAAAAGATTATTATCATTTGCAGGTTCTGACAAACATCCACTGCGGTATTATTCTTGGCAATTTAATTTTAAATGATTAATACAACATGTACCCTGCACTTGGCTGCATTTAAGACCTTGAGATCTATGCCCCAGAATGTAATTCATCTAGTTGATGTGCTGCTTTTAAAATGCAACATTAATGTTGGTACATTGTGTGCAATATATCAGTACCGTACAGTTTTGACAACTGAGCAATTAGCGATTTGCAAAAACATAATTCATACAGTAATTCAAGAAACTGCATTCATGGCCTTTCATGCAGGACTCGGAGACATGCAGTAAACTTACTTTTGATATCCCTTTGCACTGACATTCAAGGAAAAAAAAAAAGAGAAGTGTTTTTATGCAACTTCAAAGCATGTTACACAGTTCAAGCGCCAGGTTGTTAGCTTGTGAGGCTTACTGGGGACGATGCCGTCAAGGTCGAGGGGTCCAAAGGGGCTGTCCATGAATATGCCTGTGGCGGTGGCCTGGTCGCTGCCCAGCCCGTTGTTCACGATGAGGGTATAGTGCCCGTTGTTAAGATGGGTGGGTTTATTGAGGAAAAGGCAGCCGTGCTGCACCGATCCGTCATCCCTCTCCACGATGAGCTGGGTGTACATGAACTCTGACTCGGTCAGCTCTGAGCCGTTGTAGAGCCAGCGGATGGTAGGCGCTGGGTTACCATCCACTGCGAAGGGGAAGCACCAGTGATGCTGGGCCTCTGCATCCCTCAGCCATAGGATCTTGACTGGGACTAGATGTAGAGACCAATAGAAATTAAAGCTTAATACTCTCGTGCTAGGATTGGCTAGGAGTGATCATGTGTTAAATTCAGCATCCAAAGGATCTGGCCCGTGAGCTATAGCAAAAAAAAAATGAAAGAAAAGGCATTCCAGAACTTTATAAGCACAGAAGCAGAAAGTACTGCCAAAAATAAGACAGAGCGTGCTTTTCAAATAGAACTCAAATCATGATAAGCTGCTGGGTTTTCTCATTATTCTCCATAAATCGATGTGTTCCGTCTTTACAGTAAACCTGTTGACCTGGCATTAATAATAAATCCTGATATTATTAGGGACTGAGACCACAGATGGCACCTGGGAGCAACGTGGACTGGAGATACAGGAAATGGTCTATGTTAAGTGAAGGAGATTCTGATGCCTGGAGCCCTGGAATGTTCTTACTGCTAATACAATACTTTTAACCTGTGACCCTACTCAAGGAAGTACCCAGGCGTCCAGTCAGTGAGTCATAGAAACACCAGCTCAAGCATAATCCTTACGGCATAACACGATAACTAATCAGTACCAGGATCTTCTGTTTGGGGAGACAAACATCACAATATAAATGCTTGGAAATTAATAAAATGCCTTTAAACGATAAGTTTAACTATGCCATCCAATATGATTATTTCATCTTAGTCTTTCTCTGAATGCCTCATCCAGCATGATTTAGACTGCTTGCAGTTTTATCAAGTAATAAGTTAATGTAGCTGTGGTTTTCCTATTTATGTGGCATGTGCGAGGGAAAAATGAAGGCATTGCTCCCGGGATTTCAAAGCTGCTAAAGCCTCTGAAGAATGTGTGGTGAACGGGCACCGCAAAACAATCCTGCAGGTCCGCCCTGTAAACACCCTGCTGATCTAATTAAGGAGAGACAGTTAATGAGCGTCTGCCCAGGAGTGGGCCGATATCGACAGATTAGGACGGCCGCGCACTTACTGCCTGCCAATCAGGACCCGGCAATTAGACTTCCGGAGCGCGAGGGTGAGGCCCATTAGCAGAACTCCATCCCTTATCTGGGTACCCCCCTGGCACGCCGGCCCCCCGGCACGCCGGCCCCCCGGCCCTTTACTCGCTGGGGCAGACTCGCCACATTTTACACTGCTGCCTTGGTGTTCTTGTTCAGCTATTTGTTCCCCTACAAGCTTCTGGTGAAGTTTGATGACTCTCTCAGCATTCTAGCAATGGCTCAAGAAATAAGCACATCTAGTTAGAAAGGCGCGTGTCGCTGGAGAGAAATGTTTGGAAAGAGCCGTAATGACAAATTATGTAAAATAATGTTTTGGCAGTTTTGCTTATGTGGGACAAGCTTGTGAGGGACAGGTATGCTGTCCAGAGAGAATTATGGTTGTGCTTGAAAGGACGTGCTCCATAATACTGAAATTCTGATTAAATACTCTATTACTGAAATTTATGGATGGGAAAAGTGTGTATTAATCACTGGTATTTACCCGTTACTGATATTTAGCTTCTGATGAATCAGTGGTCTAGCACGACTTTGTACAGAGACAGTCACACACCACCGACGTTCCAGCATCAGTGGCCTGTCGAGAATCATCGGGAGCCGTGACAGTGAGCGGCTGTGTTATACCGCAGTGCCTATACATCTGTCTGTGATATACGAGATATCTGTCACTCACACTGAATGTCCAGCATCACCACATCCTCTCCTGGACCCGCCCGGTTCTCGGCCTCACAGGTCAGGTTGTAGAGATTGTCCATGGAGGAGACATTAAACAGACTGATAACTAGCTCCTGTGTGGGTCCCCAGATTCTCTCCTGTAGAAACAGAGCAAGGGAACACCCTCACTACCAGCACTCCCAGTCGGAAGACTCATGCCAATGTCCTTAAAATGTGTTTTTTTGTCAATAATGCTGTATAAAAACATCATCCATTTTCACAAAGAAATGTAACTGAATAAATCCAGTGGAATGTGAAAAGGTTACGAGAGCCGTTTGAAACAATCAAGATCTTTCCTACTGTGAATCAGAACACTACTTTAGTTAGAGTTATTACCCGTAATGTTGAATGTGAATTTTATCGTTATGTGCAAAGACTGCTCTTGGCATGACATAAGAATGCTCGTTGAGTTTTTCATGTACCTGCAAGGTGTAATAGGACTGCAGCCCTTCTGTCTGCCATCTTGCCAACGGCATTGGGTCACCTTTCACCTGGCAAAGGAAGGTTAAGTTTCCTCCTTCCCGAACGGTGTGCTGGGAATCAATAACGGTGACCTCAGGCATACCTGTGGAAGAATAAAGTCATCAGGGCCCACTGAGGCCTGATGTAAAGAAGCTTCACAACATCCTGTAAGCCATCCTAATGTAAACATCCATTCGCTTTTCTCAAGCTCTGTAAACTTCACCGTTTGCACACTTTCAGACGCAAACAATGCAGGAACAGATTTCCATGTCAAAAAGGAGAATCGGTTCCACCCACTGCAGTTTTCCATCACCATGTTCTCCAAGGGCAGGATGCTTCCATTGGAATAGCAGTGCAGCGTCTGGTGCAGGACGTCCGCGAGCCCGGCGCTCTGCCACTGCTGAAGCCAGTGAAGGTCACACGAGCAGGACAGCATGTTGTCTTTCAAAATCCTGCGAAAGAGCATAGAAAAGTGGCCTAACCGCTGCTCTACTCCCACCTTAAATCCATTCCATTTAAAATAGGACCAACCAAGCCAAAGGCCAGCATTTTATCATGTGAATACAGTTACTCACAGGTTCAGTAGGGGGAGGGAATGGAACACCTTCCAGCTGATGAACTGAAGAGAGTTGGAAGCCAAGTTGCTGTATGGCAAAGATGCAAAATGTATTATAATTTAAGACTTTTCATTGATTGCTATGCAATCCATTATTCACAATGATTTATGGACCGCCTCGTTTGTCCTGTTATTTTACCAACTAACTGAATACAGTTTCATACTAAATTAAATATTATTCATTTACAATAGTTTATGGTTGTAAATTGTTTATATGCCCGCTATAAATGCTACCATTTCGGTATCGTGAATTCAGTATGATGCTTGCAGTCCATGCCTGCTGTTCGCTAAGTGACACCAAAAAACAATTACAGAAAAGAAACTTTGCTAATTAGGTTAATTTGCCGAAATTAGGTGTTAAAGGGTATTATCATTATTCGGATTACTGTAAAACATTACTCTGCTGTTACCGCAAAGCATTTTTACGGCGAGGGGTGTGATACGACCTAACAAGGTGTTCTTCATTCTTGTTCTCAATGGAGGAGAACGCGGGTGCGAGATGACAAGCCGACACACTCCAGCTCCCCGCGGACGGAGCTCCATCACGGTGCTTCCATAATTATACGAGGTGCAGTTTCATTTCTGGGCCTAGTTCCACTGCTTCCATTAGAAGGCAGAGTTAATGTGCCGTGATTCATGGCTTTCCTGAGCAAACACCTGAATGCCATTATGCAACACTTTTCATTTCCCTTTCGAATGGGTCATCTTCCAGAAAGTGTGCGCTCCAGTCCAAAGTCAACATATATCTATATAGTAAATATGTGATTTTAAGGAATGATGAACAAAACGGTCTATTTTTGCTAGCCAGCCAGCCCTCAATAAACAATTAATGTCCAAATGGGGATTAATAAAGTCATTCTATCTATCTATCTATCTATCTATCTATCTATCTATCTATCTATCTATCTATCTATCTATCTATCTATCTATCTATCTATCAAAAAAACTAGACAAGTAAACTTCAAACAGTAGTTTATAGTGAAGGACTTGCGTCATACGCCGGCAGTTCTGCGCTCTTCCTGGGTCACTGTTGCTACCCAAACGGCTGTATGTTTGCGGTCCACATAAAATACAGTAAGAGCAAAAGACACTCCATAGGTTCCCGTGGAGAGACTAATTGCTACGCTTCTGAAATGTATCAGTGTTCAGGGTTGAGTCTTGGTAGAGATGAAGCACTTTGGCAAGACTGCTGAAGCTCTTCAGTAAAAGGACAATAAATCTAAATGTCAGGGTCCACTGAGGCCCACTTCTGCGAAGGATGTGCGGCTTTCTTACTTGGATTACTTTATGTCATAGTACTCAAAGTAGTATTATGTCACACACTCAAAATCTGAAGATAGCCATGTTTTATACATGTCACTGAAAGGGGCTACAAGAGAAAAAAATACACTTTAAAAAGTTCAGTATTCTGTGGTGCTTCAGAAAGCAGTAACTTAACGGCATTAGCTAAGCTAACATGGCGACTTGTGATGTTCGTGATGCATTTGTGCAGCCAGAGATTTTACCAGGACTTTGCAGATTAGATTCTTATTAAAAGACTTCATAATAAAAGGAGAACATGTTAGCTGAAGCTCTCCTGGAAAGCGCAGCTCAGCGATGACTCCGTAATTACCCATGATGCAGTTCAGGCGACACTATCCTGCCTTAAGGTCTGGAGCTGTCCGATACTAATGTCATTTAGTCAGAGATAAATGCTGGAATGGATGCCTGTTGGTGGCAAATGAAAGTAAAACTACTCTAGTATGTAGTGATGACAGAACGCAACACTTTGGGGGTGGGGGGGTGGAGATTGCCACAGCTGATACATATCTACTGTGTCAGGGGTAATGGGGGGCAGAAGGGTTCAATTATTTGTTTTCCCTGCTCCCCGAATTTCATGTCAGATGGGTCGGCCATCAGGGCCTATCTGTTACCGGCTCGATTCGGCCCGAAGCCGCTGGGATACGGGGCCTGGAGCAGCTGCTGTTGGCGCTCGGCGGCCCACGTTCCCCAGACATATGAAGGAATTGTGTGTGTGTGTGTGTGTGTGTGTGTGTGTGTG